TCTTACATACACACTAAATTATCTCAGCATTTTAATGTCTATACACACCGTGTAACACTAAAGTTGCCAAGCTTTTTCCTAAAACACTTTCAACAAGTCTTTACTGCCAGTGGCCTGGTTCTCGAATTACTTGTTCTTTTCTATTTGTTAATTAGTGGTCGGTTTATTTGTTTTCTGTCCATCCACTGTGTTCATTGTGGGAATCGAACAGGCAGAAATATTGGCAAGTTCTGTACTACATTGGCTAACTGATGCATGACATACTAGATGTCGACTCGCTTTGGGAGGAACGGAACATCACAGAAGTACAGATAGATCGACACGGTCTGAAGAGAATGGGGAAGCGAGCAGTGACAGAGTGTTTGGCTAAAATGGCTAAAATATCTTGATCTGAAAACGGGACATCCTATTTATATTACAACTGAAAACGGGACATCTCACTAATATTGTGAGCTGAAAACGGGACATCTCACTAATATTTTGAGCTGAAAGCGATACATCTGACCAATATTTTGAGCTGAAAACGGGACATCTCACCAAAATTGTGAGCTGAAAACGGGACATATCACTATTATTGTGAGCTGAAAACAGGACATCCCACCAATATTTTGAGCTGAAAGCAGGACATCTCACCAATATTGTGAGGTGAAACAGGGACATATCATTAATATTGTGAGCTGAAAACGGGACATTTCACTAATATTTTCACCTGAAAGCGGGTCACCACACTAATATTGTGAGCCGAAAACGGGACATCTCACTAATATTGTGAGCTGAAAACGGGATCCTCACTTATATTGTGTGCTGAAAATGGGACATCTCACTAATATTGTGAGCCGAAAACGGGACATCTCACTAATATTGTGAGCTGAAAACGGGATCCTCACTAATATTGTGAGCTGAAAACGGGACATCTCACCAATATTTTGAGCGGAAAGCGGGACATTCGACCAATATTTTGAGCTGGAAACAGGATATTTCAAGCAAATCAGTTAAACCCACCACTTCCCCGTTTTTTGTTGGCATTAAAGTCCGAACAGTTGTCGCCAAGAAGTGAACGAAACAATGGGCTCTTTAATTGCAACGAAAGAAATGTTGCAATGAAAAACTTCCATCAACATATTTTAATCATTAAAAGTATCTAAAACTATGAAACTATGTAATCTGTTCTTTTGGCGAGTTAATTCCTTAGATTTTCATAAAACTGGACAATAGGCGGTTTTTTGTGAGTACCGACAGGACGGCCGTGACATACCTAAAAAAACCTAGACTGTCTCGATGAATACTGGGAGGTTTGGTCGTCCTAGGTTTGTGCGACACTCGACACTCAGAGGGAGCAGACATGGCATAGACTGCTACTGGCTCCATCTGAGTTGCAACACTTCGCTAGCTGCTATGGTTTGATGTTTTGAACAACGGATCAAAATCATGGCACACAGGGGTAACCCACAAGTGCTATGTTCTTCTTCTAACTCAAGTCTGAGTCAGAAGAAGCTCAGCACAATGTGCAGGCTCTGTAGCACCGGCGAGGATCTTGAAATACTTTGGGTAGATTTTAAACTCCAAATTTTGCCTTGGCAGCGCCTTTGTGCTATTTTTTTTTCTATTTCTAACTGTCAACGGATTTTTTTTTACGTGCGCAACAATGCACACAGGCGTCCGATCTCACTACCCAGAGACCAGGGTGAATTGCTAGAAGTCCAAGTCCACGTGAAAAAAACCCCAGCCCTACCGGGGATTGAACCCGGAATCTCTAGCACTCGAGGCGAACAACATGCCTCGAGATCACGCAGCCTCCTTAGCTGCTATGGATAACAGTGGATTGCTTATGGGAGTGTCCCGTGTGCTTTGATGTGTCAGTTTTTAACTCTGTGTTTCGTCACGCTCAACCAGCTCCTTCCAAAGAAGAATCTTTGGGTTATAATTGTGACTTTATTTCTTTGCGCCATCTGTTGTTGGCTTAAATTAGGTTTGTATCCCTATCAGTTTCTTGTTGTCCTTTCCCGCTCATTCAGGCCTGGGCCTTGGTCCTGTTAAAGGTTTATGATTTCTGAGCCGTTTTTTAAACTCATTTCAAATTAACGCATGTGTATATTCACTCAAAACCATATTCTTACTGACATTAGTTCCTCTCAGCGAGTCTGCTCTTGTTCGTGTTCACATGCTTTCTTTTTTTTTTCAACACAGTACAGACTTGATGGCGGTTTCCGTGGCTAAGGCGTTGCGATTCGGACTCGTTATCCAACGTACCGCGGTCGAAACCCTCTGCCAGTAGCGTGGATTTTTATCATGGTATGGGACGTCGCAGGTCGACCCAGCCTCAAACGGGTACCAGGATGGCTGTCCCGGGGAAGTAAAAACGGCTGGCGTAAAGCTGACCACATTACCCACCGAGTGCCGATTAATCTGTAAAAAATATGGGTGCTCTTTAAAATGCGCCTAAAGGTGTGAAAAGGGATCTTTATTTTACTTACTTACAGACTTGATCGATTAAGACGACAAAGTAAATCGTCGTAATTTGCAGATGTCCCTTACATTAATATTAATTACTCCGCGAGTCACCTATTAATTAATTCATTCATTCATTCAGAAAATCATTCGCGTGTCGTCTCCACAATGAATGTTGGCTGCAACGGTCTGCAACACACTTTATCTCTTGTTTTGGCTGTACACTCTTGCAAAACGCTGTTCGTCTATATCTTGATATTGTCCTCACACTTGTATCGCTGTATACGTCTTACTCTCGTGTTTTCGACTTTTCCCTCCAATATGGTTTTTAAAAAAAATCTTAGGTATTTTGATAGTGCATACATATTTGAACTGACTTTAAAAAGAAAAAAAAGAACACATTTCTTTCAGCTAGACGCTCGCTTGCAGATCCAAGGCTCTTAGGTTCAAATCCGCATGAGCCGGCACGAGCCATGGTTCCCAGGTCGACATGGGCACCAGGTAAAAGTCTTTGGAAGTAAAGGTGACTGGCGTGATATTGACCACACCCAACACCGAGGGCTGATCTATGAAAACATGAGTCTAGCCTGTTGTGCCCTATACGTCACTGGCGTGTATAAGAGACTTTTTAGCATATGCTGGATAGCACAATGGCGTAACAAGCGGCCATTATTTCTAAAAAACTCATTGTTGTCTGTGGCTTGGGCTTTGTGAACGCGCTTCGGAATTCCATGGTGCGGGCTTTGATCCCAGCTGCGTGCGATTTGGCAGCAGACCACCTTGCATTGGTTTCAACAGTGGTATCACAAGCTGATCGTTGAGGAAAAAAAAAAGAATGACAAACTACTGAAGGTAAAATTCCATATTCAAATTACACCACACACTGAAAAAAAATGCCGGCGTTGGTTCTGCAACGTTCTGTAAAGACGCGCAACTAACAGACTCATGGTTTTAACAAACTCTGACAGCACTTTTGAGTTCAGTCAGTGAAGCGTTTCATGTTGGCCAAATGGTCACCTTTGTGACACACCTCGGACTATCGATCTACACACACGCTTGAATGCTCCATTTGCTTAAACGATTTGCTGTCTTTCCACATCTAGGGTGTTACTGAGGGAGGGAACAGAGGTAACACTAACATTTAAATTTCACCCCCCCCCCAAACCCTAATGGGTTCTGGGACCCCATTATTTGGAGAGAAATATAGAGTAGACCCATTGCCTACCCAAAAGGATGTCGTAAAAGTCGAACGATTAGAACAGTGGCTCTCAACCTTTCTAACTCCGCTACCCTTTAATACAGTTCCCTCATGTTGTGGCGACCCCCAAAACAATTTTTTTTTCCTTCATAACTTCCATGAATGTGTGTTTTCCGATGGTCTTAGGCGACCTCTGTGAACGGGTCATTGGACCAAAAAAAGAGGTCACGATCGGCAGATTGAGAACCTTTGGATTAGAAGCTTCCTTCGAACTCGGAGTGCATCTGCCTGAGAGGCAAGGACCCAACAGTCTGCATTCGAACAAAGGCTGTCTTTAAAATAGATGTTCACGCAACACTCATGTTCTAGAACAGCACTAAAGTCCAGAAGTAAATGAATAACTAAAACTTTCCGCCGGATTTCACAGCAGTTGAAAGCGAAGAAGAAGAGGAAGACGAAAATTTACAAGCCCCTAACACCGCTGTAAACACGATAAACACAGGCAATACAGATTTGTTTCCCCACACTGTGGGGTGTTCTTTTCTTTAGATATAATCAGGTAATCAGGTAACTATGAGCCACCTATAGTTGCTCTGTTCCTATACCAACGAAAACCACAAGAATATTCATAAGTGCGTGTTGCGGAAAAAAAAAAACAACAACCTTAACACATACTGAAGTGGTAGCAAAGCCAATAGCATACACACCCATCAAATGCAAAAGGCAGCTGTGAGGGGTACTAACACAAACAGCCCGGCATTAGAAATATAGTTCATCGCCGATGAAAGCAGCAGTTACAACTGATCGGTAGTTGCACACGCAATCAATCATCCCAAACGATACCGGTAAAACTCTGGCAACAGGCCATTCGCCATTCCCCGAATCTGTAGTTCACCACTAAAACTTAAACAAGGAAAAAAACATTCCAAAGGAATCAAATGCTCACAGTGTCGGGCTATGCACTCAAATCAATATTTGGGCAACGGAACTAAATCTTTTCAGTCTACATATGGAGAAAAATGCAACGACTAATTATTGTCAGAAGCAAAAACTTGCTACGACTAAAAACAGTAATCGTGTCTGTGCCCCATATTAACAGGAAGCCTCGGCCGCAGTAGAATAGTGGCTGGAAAGGGGTGGGTGGGGGGAGGGGGGGGGGGGTAAATTAATTAACACTGGCTTCCAGGTCAACCTAGCCTGAAATTGTGGTACCAGCAGGTGTGCTGCTGACCACCTCATCCACGAAGTACCGATTGTTAAAGGTAAAAAATATATAAGCCTCGCATCACACGCCCTCCGTCACACACGAATATGTTATTTTACTTATTACAATAGTATCAAAGAATAAACTTACCTGCATTCTGAACACATCCACAGACGTCACCCATCTGAAAATGGCGCGAACTTTAGCGATACTGTCCCATGTGTCAGGCGCTGTTAAATATTCCACAAGAGCTGCGAATGTTTGGTAGTTCAGACTAGATGGCATCTGAAACAGCATCGAAGACTAGGTGTGATTTCATGAAACATGCCCCTATGACTATAATAAACGTATGTCAGGTATATTGTCAGGTGGGCGTGGCATAATTAATCTAAGCAGCTGTTAGGAAGCAAGGATGGTGGTCGAGTTGTCAAACGTTGTTCTTCCCTAGGGATTCTGACAAGCATCACTCAAAAGTTATAGGAAATGGCACGCAATTGGATTTACTTCATTGTACCGGGTCTCATCACATGTGGCGTTGAAGCTCTCTCTCTCTCTCTCTCTCTCTCTCTCTCTCTCTCTCTCTCTCTCTCTCTATCTCTCTCGCTCTCTCTCTCTCCCCTTCCCGCTTTTTTAAAATCGCGCTTACGAATGAATAGGTGCCTGCCGAGAGCGTCTCATAAAGTACAAAAACCGTAGCTACAGCCATGATATTCCTGGATCCCCATAAAAATTTCACTTGTGAATCTTTTTCTTTTGCGTTCATCCGAAGATGTAATTGCGTTGTGTCCGTTTACAACATGGCTTCGATATTTGCACCTTTCGGTCAACACATCCGGCTTCTGAGGGCATTTGTTGACCGGGTTAGCCTTCCCGGTGACTTCTGAATCTAACAATGCTGTCATTGAAACAAGCCCAAACCTTCAGAGCGGGATGCCAAACGGCTAGTGGAGAGGGTGGATATCCTACACAAAGGACCTTGCTCACTGAGATACTGGATCACAGCTTAGGCAACAGCTGTGTCGATGTAGAATTGTCATCTTCTGGGAAATTTATGTTAAAGATCTAAACAAATGGAGGTCAAGTAGCGACAGTTGGGGACTGTAGGTTGGGCATGTAAGACTTCACACCTTTTCATTTCTAACACAATAGAACCTCGCTTAACGAGCACCTCTCATAACGAGTAATTCGCATAACGAGCAAAACAAAGTGTAAAAAAAAATGAAATGCTTAACGAGCGGTGTTTCGCATAACGAATGGCGAGGAGAAGGGAAGTTCCGAATTGTGCGCATGTTACATCAGTCTGTGTTTAGCACTCGTTCCAGTAGCATCGTAGTGTCGCTTGTGATCACACATTTTCTCAAACTTGTGTAATATTGTGATATGTGTATATGAATCCTCCAGGCCTACAAGATGGCCTCTCTGAAGAATTTAAGTTCATCAAGATCCAGTTTCTGCCTCCCAACACCACTCCGTTACTCCAGCCCATGGACCAGCAAGTTATTTCTAAATTTAAGAAGCTCTACACTAAAGCACTCTTTGAGCATTGTTTTCAGGTGACTGAAGAGACTAATCTCACTATCAAAGAGTTTTGGAAAAATCACTCCCACATCCTTGCCTGCCTCAGGGTGATCGACAAGGCGGGGGAAGGGGTTACCAAGAGAACCCTAACTTCTGCTTGGAAGAAACTTTGGCCTGAGAGCATTGCCGATTTGTGACTTTTAGATGGTGCTCCGTGCGACACTCTCGACAGACATCTAGCGGTTCTGCTGAGAGAGAATGCGCCATATGGGATAAGAACCTGTGCAGTGAAGTCGATTCTTTTACTTTTACATTTACCTTTTTACAAATGATAAATTTACTTTACTGATAAACTGCTTGCAAAACTTACTTTACTGACATACTGATCAACTCTTTTGTAGTCCGCTTCATGGAAGATCATAGACTTCCTAGTTCTTGGAGGGAAGGGTAATGGTGGCTTCTGATCTCGATCATTCTTCTGTAAATATATGCGGAAAAAAATGTTTATGTGCAAATTTACTTTTAAAGAAAAAAAAAATGGGTTAAATACTTTTAATAAGATCGTATCTTTGAGGAGCAGAAGAGGCTGACCAAGAAAGACCTGGTTACAGAACCTGACTGACTGGAAAGTCCTCAGGCATGCAACCATGAAGCTGCTAGCCATTGCGCTACGACGACTCCCACCAACTATTCACCGTCTGTAATCTCCCGGCGGAAATTTGTGGTTGTTCTTCCGCTTCTGGACTTTGTCCAGAACTTGGCTTGTGCATGCATATATTTTTTTACTTTTTCTTTTTCGCGTTCACCGGCTGTAAACTCAGGTGGAAAGTTATGGCAGTTCGTTTACGTCAGGATAGTAGTCCTGCTTCATAACCTAAGTGTTACGTGAGCCTCCATTGTACAGATGTGACTTATTTGCATGCAGACTGTTGCTTTCTTATCTCTCAAGTAGATACACTCAGACCTCGAAGGAAATATCATAATTATTTGTCTTTTACACATTTAACTATTTACCATATACACTTTCTATCCTCCCCAACGAAACCAATCCAAACCCTGGTCTTT